TTGTTACAAAGTGACCGCGTTCTGCTTCTTGTTTCTCCCTCGATAGAGGGTTTTTCAATCTGGATGCAATGCACATACTTACAGATATATATACATATTATTTTATGAATTGCGTAGTATTTTACCTATTGTCTGTTATTTTTTTTCTACCATGAGCTGCTCAGCGTTGCCATGGTTTGCCGAGGGTTTCCCTTCCTTTCTTCTTAACACTTTGAGCTTTTGGTAGGAGATGGTTGGGAGCCCATTGTATGTTATTCCCAAATCTATCATTTATCACATGTTGTTGTGGTGACCCTTGTGTTTACTAAACTCTAACCAAGGTTTAACACACTAGTAATCTATTACATCTCATCCAAGTGGTCATATCCAATCGTTGATATCCGACGATTTCATTTATTGTTGTTAATCAATTTGCATCACATTTTCATTTCTAGTATCCTTTGCAGTCATGTCCATTTTACTATATATTCATTTGTTTACTTTACCTCCATTACGCCGTGGTGTCACCATTGTTCGTAGGGAGGCACACTATGTTGTTTATCATTCCTATATTAAAGTAGCAACCCACACACCCCTCCCCCCATTTGTTTCCCTTGGCCATTATCATTCTCCTGGCGATGTGGATGTAAATGTGGAAAGGTCTCGTAGTCATTGCAGATGTACATAATAATAGCTATTGTGAGGGTTGTTGGGTTTGTGTTTATTTTTGTTGTTACAATCTATGTTTATTTTTAGCGTGTTGACGAACGGCTTTATTACAAAGGGATGTGGTAGACCCTGATGTAATTCCCTAGGACTGTTGAGTGTATTGATTGATGAATTGTACTAACATTTTTCCACTGATTTCTGTGGATTTTGTTGTCCCATTGTGACGCACTCTAACGATCCTTCTCAGGTAAGTGGCTTCTCCCTTCCTCTACTTTTTTTGGGAGGTGGAGAAATGACTGTACTTTTTCCTCCTGGTTTAGTTTCTTCTCTTGTAACATATTTCTAGGTTCGTTCCCATTTCCCTTTTTTTTATACTTGTTTGTTCACCATTCACAAATGGTATTCCTAGTAAAGCGTATCAAAGAGTATATTCCACTTGTAGTACAAACCAAACAAAGCTATATTGTTATCTCACCTTTATTTTTAAATCATTGACCCTAGCCTACAATAACAAGGTCATGGGTAATAGCAGTGTTTTGAACGAATTCCTTTATTGGACCTTGGCGTATTGTGCCTCCCTGGCAAACAAAGTTTGTAAATTCCCTTGGGGTGTGGCTTATCTCAACGCGGAGAACCCCACTCACCACCAAAGCAACCAAGCACACGTCCTGGTGCCTTTAGCAAAGTGTGTTGTAAAAGACAGTGTTTCATCCTCTCCCACGTTGACCTCTGTTTTGGCGGACATTACCACTTTGTACAGTTCCCACGGGATCGTCCCACGGGTGATAATCTATCCTGAACTCCAACCCTTGGAAAAAAATAAAGGCGAGGAGAAGTTATCGCTTTCGCTTAGAACGGCTCACCAGGCATGGCGTAATAGTCAGCAAGCGAGTGAAAGTTTGAGTATTTTGCAGTATGATCCTAGGGACACTACCAGGGCAACTCGACCTGATGCTGAACAGTACCGTGGTGTGAGTACCTTTGCCGATAGTGAGGCAATAGTACGGAAAGCGCATATGGATGATTTAGATGAGGCCAGTCATGTGGTGAAAGCAGCATTTGGTTACGACCAAATTGACGATACAGCGTGGATCCGACCAAAGTTGGAAAAGCAACTGGATCATCCTGACAAGTTTGATATTTACGTAATGACGTGGGGGTGTAGAACAACTGGGGAAAAGGCTAACCCATCTCTCAACACCAGCTATCAGCCAAGTCGAAGGGGTCCTGGTGTCCAAGAGGTAGATCATTCGCAATATCGAGAGCACAAGGTAGTGGGCATTGCTGTCGTTTTCCACCCTCCAGAAAAGGAACCGGTATGGCCTTCTTGCTCCATATCTACACCAGTGCACTTGGTCCAAATGATTGCCATCCATCCTGATTACCAAAAACGTGGACTGGGAACCCTATTGCTACGTACCTTGTGTCAAAAGACACCATCGCATACCAAACTCTATATTGAAACCACCAGTTCGGATTCCAAGCGGTTGTATACGCAGTGTGGTTTTAAGGAAGTCGGTGTTGTGGATTCGGTGGAATTTTGGTTAGATTAAAAGCAGATGGAAAGTGTGTGATAGTTATAGGGTGTAATTCCCATGACCAAGCAAGTAGAATGCAACGTCGATGCTACTTGTACTGTCATGGAGTTTAGCCCAATAAATACTTTATTAATTTATACAGTAGTGGGTTTCTAACAAACCAGTGGTTAGTACAGGGTCAGGAGTTGTGCATTGCCTAATGTCGGTTATGCAGGAATTCCTGGATAAATCCGGCGATGTTTCATCTCCACCTGTACCGCAATGACAAGAGATTTATCGTCTTTTATCGATGATAGACAGTAGATTAAAAATAATACATTCTGGGTAACTCTTTGGCAATTCCATACTGCACGTTTATTGTTTTACATATTGACCTGGGCCTTGGAAAAATCCATTTCAGGATGCTGTTTCTTAAATTCTTCAATCATGGCCAGCTTTCGCGCTTCTTCACTATTTGATTCTCCCATCTGCTTTTGACGCTGTTCGTACATCATTTTCTCCACCATGCCCCGGGTTTCCCCGTCGAGGTCGGCCAACGACGAATTTTCGGGCTGAATTAATGCAACATCGATTTTGGGATGGTGTGTCACAACATGTGGCCACCACTGCATAGCGTTTTGCTTTTCTAAATGAATAACCACTGTCCGTTGGTCTTCTACGCTCCACGTGCAATCGTCCAGCAGAACCGCGGCAAACAAATCACCCTCCACAATAGGTTCCGCCGAGGGAGACTGTTTCAAGGCAACCTTGAGTGAACGTGGACGGATTTGAACAAGGACATCTCGACCGCGGGTACCGGCGGGCACCGGCACCGTAATATCGACATCGGCCAAGGTTTGGGTCCAACGATACGGCAAGCGAGCCTGTTCCTCAGCTTCCTGGGCTCGTTTTTCTTGGTTATACGCTTCACGTTCTTCGGGAGACATGGCATCCAAGTCGGTGGGATGTTGAGGAGCGGCCATGATGGCAAATGAAAAGTGAATTCAAGTTTGACCAATGGAAGTAAGGTGGGAGATGAAATACCTTAATCCTGTTAAGGTGTTAAAAAAAAAAGGCAAAATAAGGTGTTGGTAAGAAAGGCCAGAATAGAGCAAGCTATTTCCTAAACACGTTAGTTGAAACTCAATGCAATGTGCCAGATTCAGCTATTTATTGCTGAGACCAAAGGAAACGAACGCCCGTTATAAAAATTTATACCCGCGAATGATTTTCCAGAGACCAAAAATTACATAATCCACGGGATGAGTTTTTTATAAGAGAAATTTCAACCCTTTTCCACTACGAGTTTTTCCACTTTAGTTGCAATTACGAGTGTGTACATATCGATCATGATAACCTAGATGAAGGTTCAAGGCAAGAATACAACACCGTTGGGTTTATTTATAATAGGCCAAAAATGATTACTCACGTCATTTACAGATGGGATATCCTAATGAATTTCCCTCACCATTCCACTGGAACTAGGAACCACACCAATGAATAATGATTTGCGTAGACTATTATCCTATGTGTATCGGTAAAAGTACTCCTAGTACGCACTAAGTGATATAAACACTCATACCACAATCTACTTTTATACTATCTGGCCAACTCTACCTGGCATCTTTTTTTTCCGCTTATCATACTGTGAAGTGAAATCAGGCCAGTCACTAGATAACCTTACAGGTTGGATGCGGAGAAATTAATGTTGGTGGGATATTATAATGCAGTGGTGGAAAAAAATAATACCCACTACGTGTCAACAAAATGAACGTTAAATATTACCCTAGCACTTCAACGAAATTCAGTGTTTCTGTAGATCGTTGATTCACCAGTTCGTTTTTTACTTATTAATTTTATCTATATTCTCTTTCACGAGCTTTTCCAAAGCCTGCTTTACAATTCAGCACTTGTCCTTCTCTATCTTTAATTATAACGCAGAACAACACCGATTAAAAAATGTCCATGTTTTCCTTGGATTCGAGCAAGACCAAAAAGGAAGAACTCAAACAGCAAATTCGCTCCGAGTTCGCCCTGGCCAACGCACAAGAGTTGATCAACGTAAGTAGTATTCCCATTCCTCACCACCCTGGTATTCCATGTTATGGCTAACATGTCTCCGTTATTCCCATTCCCACTCAGTGATCTAAGCTGTAAATGTTTCTGCCAAGTACTAACACTATATATATACCTTTTACTAATTCTCACCTTTTATATGGAACGGAAACGCGATTTTACCGAATAGAAAATGAGCGAAAAGTGCTACAGTGGCTGCGTTCCCAAACCCGGAAAGTCCCTAAGTCGTACCGAGACCGATTGTTTATCCAAGTGCATGAAGAAGTACCTGGAGGCGTGGAACATGGTATCACAGGCCTATACTCGTCGTATTCAGGAAGAAAGTGCCAAAGGATCCAAGTAATAAAATCACTCCTACCCACCTTTCGGTATAGATTTGACCATGCTTGTAGTGTCGTACATATGGGCACAATGTTTCCTATATTTGTTGTCCAAAGATTTCGCACCATAAGACGGACTCGTAGCGGATCTGGGGTTCTAGTCTCCTGGAATCTATCACGCATGAACTCCTCTTTCCCTGCTACTGTCAACATCCTTTTCTCATCGTGATCATGGACGCCGATAACCATTTTTATGTTTTATCCAACTTCTTTCTGTGTTTAATAAGCAAACCTTGTTTAGTATTTTCCCCCTTTCAATATGCAACGATAAGTGTAATGTAGCGATACTAAATCCGGTACAAAAACTTTGGTGGGTAGGGTGACTGAGATTTTTTTCCTTCCTCACAAAAGGGCTATTTTGCAAAATTTTTTAGTTTATGCCCCAATAGCCGAGTGGATAAGGCGTCGCCCTCCTAAGGCGAAGATCCCGGGTTCGACCCCCGGTTGGGGTTAACGACATTATGTTTTTAAAATTTTTGATATTTTTTTTGTGAATGGAAATTTAAAAGCTGTGAAATAATATTTTTTTTCTGATTCCTTAAAAAATATACATGTGTTTCAGGCATAAGTTAATGGAGGATGCTCTGTAAAACTCAAACTGAAGCCAAGGATGAGTTTTGGCTCCCTAATTTTTTTTTTTTGAGAATTCATATGGACAAAGATTTTGGGGAGTCATAAACATTTTTGAGGGAAAAAGAAAAGGTTGAAAAAAAATTAACATTCAACAGTGGAGAAAAGAATATTGGGGATGATTTGCAGGGGATAAGGGGCTCGATAAAGGACTGGAAAAGCTTTATTGTTCGTGAAACGCCAGCCAACTTATTAATGTCTGCATTAGCTATGCATTTCATTTCAACATTACCCAAATTCATGCCAGCACGTTCTCCCTACGTTACAAACACTGAAGTGACAGTGATTGTGCAGTAATAAATTACATGCCGGTAGTGCATTAGCCACCTTATAGATGGGAGCCCAAAGGATAGTTTCAGAGCCAGCTCAAGCGAGATGGATAAGGATTGGGTCATTGTCAAATGAATCACCACTGCGATGGGATGTTTACTCCTCAGCAATGTGGATGATTACTGTTGATTCGTAGCAATTCACTGTCCTCTGTTACATCTTTGGTACAACCCAAATTTTTCCCTACTTTAAAATGTGACCCATAATTCATGTAACCAATCAGCAGTCAGGGGTTAGAAAAAAATATCAAGGGTCACAGCTTATCACGGGCGATGATGGGTGACCTTTAAATACCCTCGTGTTGTTTGCCTTGTTCCACATTTTTTAGAGCGTTTGCTGCCTTGTTTGTTTTTACTCGTTTGTATATTTTTTTTGGTAGCGGTTAAATATTGAACAATTCGCAGTTAAGT